ACCTGTTTCTCCTTCCTGCTCGTTCCCTCTAGCCCTCTAAGCAACAAACTAGGGTCTCAAACTTGGCATCTTGTTTTCCTACTTTCCCAGTTAGGTTAGAGGCTAAGAGAGGTAGAGACATGGATTATCTTTTTTAACTTGTACATCTTTTTTGTTTGCAGCCAGCTGGGCATCAAAATGCAACAGCTGCGTGACCTAGAAATTCAACCTTGTGCTCTTAGGATGGCATTCTTATCATTTTTATGGGAGACTTTTTATGATAAACCATAGTGTTCAGAGAGTACAGGCAATTATGTGTATTTGGGCATCCACCAGTCACTGCAATGGAGGTGTGAGGTGTGCTGCTTCTTATTGTGGACTGAGGAAGACTTTAAAATTTTTTTTGTTTTTATTTTTAATTTTTTTGGTCTTTTTGAGACAGGGTTTCCCTGTAGACCCAGCTATCCTAGGACTCACTATGTAGATCAGGCCTTGAACTCATAGAGATCTGCCTGCCTCTACCTCCTGAGTGCTGGGATTAAAGGCATGCACCACCATGCCTGGTTGACTTTTAAATTTATTTTTATTTTATGTGTATCAGTGTCTTGCCTGCATGTATGTGTGCTGGATAGTTTAGTTGTCAACTTGACACACCTGGGTAGAGGGAGCCTCAACTGGGGAATTGCCTCCATTGGTCAGGTCTGAGGCCATGTCTCTTGGATATTTTCTTGATTTTTGAGGATCCAGCCCACTGTGGGTGGTGCCACCCCTGGGAAGGTCATTCTGTATTGTATAAGAAAGCAGGCTGAGCTTGGGCCAGGGGAGCAAGTCAGTAAGCAGCGTTCCACCATGGTCTGTGCTTCAGCTCCTGCCTTGAGTTCCTACCTTGGTCTCCCTGACGAACTGTGACCCAGGATATTGGTATTAGTGTTTTGTCACAACAATGGAAAGCAAACTAGAACAGTATGTAAGTGTACACATGTTGTGTAATGCCCACAGAAGCAAGAAGAGGGCATCGGGTCCCCTGGAACTGGAGTTACAAGTAGTTGTAAGCCACCATGTGGATGCTGGGAACTGAACCCATGCTCTCTGGCAGATCAACAAACACTCCAACCCGCTGAGTCATCATCTCTCCAGTCCCTACAGAAGACTTTTTGAGGGCGCTTCCCCTTACTCCTTCTCTTTTTCTTCTTCCTCCTCTTCCTCTTTCTCTTCTCCCTCCTCTCCCTCTTTTCCCTTCTCTTCCTCCTCTTATCCTTCCTTTCCATCCTCTCCCTCCTCCTTTTTCTCCTCTTCCTCCTCTGTCAGCCCCTCTTCCTCTCTGTTTGCTTGCTTCTTTTCTGCAGTGCTGAGGATTGAACTCAAGGTCTTGTACATTCTAGGCAAGCACACTACCATTGAGCTATATCTCTAGCCCTCTTTTCCTTTTTAATCCTGATAAACAAAGTGGGCTTTTTTAAAAAATGCCATTGTAAAAGTTCCATTAGTGATAGCATATGATTGGAATGAGAGGTGGAGGCAGGAGGATCAGGCGTTCGTGGCCATTCTTAGCTACATATCAAGTTCAAGGCCAGCCTGGGATATAGCCTTTGAAATGATTCAAACAGGATTCTTGCTCTGGAGCATCTTGCTTCAGGTAACAGTAATGGTGATGATCTCATGAGAAACAGGAAGCACTAACTTTTACAGAACAGTTCATGTGTTCAAGGTACCATGGAGTCCTCATGACCTTTGATATCCTCATTCTAGGGTTGAAGAATCTGAGGTTCAGAAAGATGAATTTGCTAATCCAAGATCACACAATTAGAAAGTGATTTAGAACCTACATCTGCTTCTACAGAGGGCACTTTTTTTTTTTTTTGGTCTTTTTGATACAGGGTCTACCTGTAGCCTCAGCTGGCCTGGAACTCACTATGTAGACCAGGCTGGCCTCAAACTCACAAAGATCCACCTGCCCCTGCCTCCCAAGTGCTGGGATTAAAGGTATGCACCACCACGCCCAGTGACAAAGGACACTTTTAACCAGTGTGCTGCCCTACCTCTCCACATGCAAACTTCACAGAACTGTTGGTAGCTGTGCTGCAAAGGGCTGCTTGGATAGGTGCCTCGACTTTTATTTCCTCCTAGTCTTTCAGGACCAAGGAGATGCATTTGGAGGTGAGGTTGATATCATTACCTCTTACTGGTAGATAGATAAGAGTGAGTAGAAAGAAAAGTGTATGTGTGTGTGTGTGTGTGTGTGTCTGTCTGTCTGTCTGTCTGTGTCTGTGTGTCTATGTATGTGTGGTGTATGTGTGCACATGTGCAGAGGCCAGAGGTCAATGTCAGCTGTCTAACTCTATCACTGTCCACGTTATTCTTTGAGAGAGTCACTCACTGAACCTGGAATTTGCTCTTTTGGCTAAACTGGATGACCAGTGAGGTCCAGGAACCCTCCTTCTCTGCCATCCCCCATGCTGGAGTTACAGGCTTGTACCACCATGCTTGGCTTTTTCTTTTTAAAAAAAATATTTATTTTTATTTTATATATATAAGTGTATTACCTGCATGTACCCGTGTCATGCAGTGCTGCGGAGGTCAGAAGAGGGCTTTGGATTCCTCTGGAACTGGAGTTAAGGATAGTTCATAGCCGCCATGTGGGTGCTGGAAAGTCAACCCAGGTCCTCTGCAAGAGCAGTCAGTACTCTTAACTGCTGAGCCTTCTCTCTAGCCCCATGCCTGGCTTTTTATGTGGGTTCTGGGATCCAAACTTTGGTCCTTCTGCTTGTACAGCGAACACTTTACCCATGAAGCCATTTCCCCAGCCCCTGGAAAATTATTCTTATGGGTCAGAGAGAAAAGTGGCTAACCCTTCTCACCATGAGCTCCAGAGCCCCAAGAAGATGAAATACAGATGAGGGTAGCAACCAGCAGGGCTGGCCCTCTGCTGGTTGGCATTCCCCTGATGGGCGCTAGTCTGTCTGAGAGAGAGAGCCCAGGTCCAGGGTGACCTACTGACTTTAGAAAGGTGGAAACTAAGAACCAGAGAGGACATGGCCAGCATTCAAACAAGACTGTCAAGCTCTTGACAGCCCTGTACATAGTCCTGTTGGAACTTCTTGCAACAAACAGTAAAGATGCAAACTTAATGAACTCATCACTTAAGGTGACTTGTTCATGCTCTTAAGTTCTTGTCATTGGACTTGGTTCTCCTCCGGTCCATTGGTGCTGCTATAACAAGCATTTGTATGTGAGAGGACAAATAAAATTGCTGCTTCTCTTTAGCAAACTCTATTCTCTCCATGCCCTGAGGTGGCCGTTGATGATAATCTCTTATCTGGACATCACTAGCTGTCCTGAAAGCTCAGACTCACATTCTTGTCTTGTATATATATTTCTGGAGAAAGGAAGTTTTAGCATTTCAGAATTTCAGTTCCAAAGGTAAAAGGCACATGTTCATAGGAATCGTACAAAACAAAATCAACTCTCCTGGCTCAATAGAAACCAGTTAATTTTTTTTATTCTTTCTTTTTTTTTTTTAATCTTTTTGAGACAGGGTCTCCTTATAGCCCCAGCTGTCCTGGAACTCACTATGTAGATGAGGCTGACCTTGAACTCACAGAGATCCACCTGCTTCTGCCTCCTGAGTGCTGGGATTAAAGATATGCACCACCATGCCCACTGATTGATTCATTTTTATTTTCTGTGTGTGAGTGTTTTGCCTGCATGTATGTAAGTGTGCCACATGTGTGTAATGTCTGAGGAGGTCAGAAAGGTGGTCAGAGCCCCTGGAACTGGAGTTACATACAGTTATTAGCTGCCTTGTAGGTACTGGGAATTAAACCCAGGTTCTCTTCAGGTGCAGCAATTACTCCTAACTGCTGAACCATCTCTCCAGTCCCTAAAAACCATTTTTTTTTCTTTTTGAGACAGGGTCTCCTTGTAGCCCCAGCTGGCCTGGAATCCGATATGTAGACCAGTCTGGCCTCGAACTCACAAAGATCCGCCTGCTTTTGCCTCCCAAGTGCTGCGGTCAAAGGCATGTTCCACCATACCCGGCTCTAAAAACCACTTTTAAGCTGGGTATGGTGGCTCAGGCTGAGGCTAGAGGATCACCAACAGTTCAAGGCCAGACTGAGCTACATAATGAGTTCCAGGCCAACCTGGGTTACAATATGAAATCTTGTCTGAAAACAACCACAAAAGCCACGTTTGGGCTGGGGATATAGCTCAGTTGGTAGAGCATTTGTCTTGCATGCACAAAGCCCTGGGTTCAATCCCCAGCACTGTATAAACTGGTAGTGTTTGCTGGCTAGCTTTAGTTGTCAACTTGACACACCTGGGTTCATGGAGCTTCAGTTGGGGAATTGCCATGTCTGTGGGGTATTTTCTTGGTTGTTGAGTGGTCTGTGGGCAGTACCACCCCTGGGCATTTTGTTCTGTAAGGCTGAGCATGGGCCAGGGGAGCAAGCCAGTAAGCAGCATTCCTCCTTGGCCTGTGCTCCAGCTCTGGCCTCCAGGCTCCTGCCCTGAGTTCCTACCTTGGGCTCCCTGATGAACCTGGGAGATGTAAGACAAAATAAATCCTTTCCTCCCCAAGTTGTTATTGGTCAGAGTATTTTATCACAGCAATGGAGAAACAAACTAGAACAGAGTGGTAGCACATACATGTAATCTCAGCACTCCGTTGTTAACATAATGAGTTGGAGGCCAGCCCAGGCTACATGAAACTCTGTCTCAAAAGTAAAAACAATTCCACCTCTACCTTTAAGAATCTTCTAAGTGAAATTTAGCCTGGGAGAAGTAAGAATCTGATTAGAAGTTTCCAAAAAAAGGACATTTTTGTTGTTGTTGTTGTTGAGACACGGTTTCATGTAGCCTAGGCTGGCCTCAACTTGCTATGTGGTTGAGGATAACTTTGAACGTTTGATCCTCCTGTCTCCATCTTCCCATTGCTGGGATTATAATAATTACAAATATTAGTGCTTGAGTACATCAAAACCCCTCCAATTTCTCTTTTCATTCTGGTTTGCCCTTTTCAGGACGTCATCACAGATCCATTCAAGCTTGCGGAGGAGTCTGACAAGATGAAGCCCAAACATGCATCTGATGCAGCTGGAGGTTGCTGTGGCAAAAAGAAATCCGGCTAGATCTACAGCCAAGAAGCCCCGCCTCTCCCACCCCGGGTGGGCAGGAAGGAGGCTAAAGAATCGGTCGCACAGGCTTTTTAACGTGCTCTTCCCCAATGCACAGACCATGGCAATAAATGGCAAAGGCACATTCATGAGAATAAGAATAAGATATTTAGATAGATAATAAGTATAAGAATGACTTTAGAAGGCATCAAAGGTTCATCCCAATCACCTAATTACCTGTTGGTTAACCTTTTTTTCTATTTCACTATTTCAGAGTTCTTCTGCCACCTAGTGGTCAGAAGTGGAACTGAACGGTTTAAGGCTTGGTTGATCAAGGGCCAGGAAAGAGCGTCAAAATTGGAGGAAGATGCTAAGGAAGAACATCTTCCCTCTGGTCTGCCACACGGCACTCTTTGGACTTTTCTCCATGTTTACTCATTAAGCAAAGTCTCTACTGAATTCGGGTGAATTGTGACAAAATATTAGCAAGTCAAATTTGGTCGGAATACTCTTGAAGTAACTGTCTTCAGATAATTTTTTTCTTTTTGTAATTGAATGAAGAAAACGAATAATTCTTTGGCCTCAGTTCAGCCTAATGGTTGGTGATGCAGTGACTATGGTAAATTCTAACTGGATTAGGGCTAGAATTTGGTACTTTTGAAAAATGGACTGATAAGAGATGTAAATATGGTCATTTTTCACCTCCTTTATAAAGCACCCTGGTCAAATGTTTAGGCCAGTGCTACTTCTAGAACCCATATTGAAGGAGTTTAAGGACACTGGGGATGGAGAGATGGCTCAGTGGTTAAGAACACTGGTTGTTCTTGCAGAAGACCTGGGTTCGAGTCCCAGCATCCACATGGCAGCTAACAACTGTCTGTAACTCCAGTCCCAGGGGATCCAACAGCCTCTTCTGACCCCTGCAGGCATTGCACGACACAGGTGCACTTACCTATGTGCAGGCAATACACGCATACACATAAAATAAAAAATAAATAAAAAATTTAAAAAAAAGAACATTAAAGGGCCATTGCTGCTTAAATAAATTGAAGTCCAGCTGTTCTTGAAGACTTTGGAGACACAGAAGTGTGTAAGTAAGTCACAGTTCTTATCAGGTACTGATAGTTCAATTGAAAACAACTTTTTGATGTATTTATTTTCGCTACTATGTGTATGAGTGTTTTGCCTGAGTGTTTGTTGTGCAATGCCCACAGAGGCCAGAAGAGGGCATTGAATCCCCTAAAGTGGAGTTAGGGACTATCGTTAACTGCCATGTGGATGCTGGGACTCAAACCTGAGTCCTCTGGAAGAGCAGCCAGTGGGCTTAATGCTGAGCCAACTCTCCGGCCCCACTAGTTCAGTTTCTAAATGACCTTCAGGCTAGGGATGTAGCTCAGTGATAGAGTGCTTACCTAATATACACTGGATGAGTCTGTAATCCTAGCACTTGGGAGGTAGAGGCAGGAGAATCAGAAGTTAAAGTTCATAATCAGCTACATAGCGAGTTTGTGGCCAGCCTGGGCTATATGAGACTGTCTTAAAAAACAAAAACCAAAATCATGATACCAAACTTTTGTTGTTGTTGGTATTCTACCATTTACTATCATTTTAGCTTGGGAAGGTGACTTAACATCTCCATGCCTTTGTGCCTTCCTTGGTGTGGAATACTTTGGAGGCATGGTTAGCATATTTAGTGTGACTGATATCAGCTGAGATCTATCTGTTGCTCCAGCAGGTGATGTCAGGACCAGGGCTGCTTTTGCTGCCAGAAAGTCTCAAGAAAGCTGCATGGAGCTCTTTGGACAGGAGGCAACTTTCTAAAATTTTGTTATGACATTTTTCAAAGATTCAGAAAATAATCATAGTGACTGCCTATGCTGGATAGCTTCAGTTGTCAACTTGACACTCTGGGAAGAGGGAACCTTAGTTGGGGAATTTCCTCTGTGAATCACTTTATCACTGAGGGATGTGGGAAGGCCCAACCTACTGTGGTGTGCCACCTCTGGGCAGGTGGTCTCGGGTTGTATAAGACATCAGTCTGAGCATAGGCCAGAGGAGCAAGCCAGTAAGCAATATACCTGCATGGTCTGTATTTCAGTTCTTGCCTTCAGGATTCTGGCATAACTTCCTGCCCTGACTTCCCTCCATTATGGACTGACACTTTGAAGAGAAATATGAATTAAACCCTTTCCTTCCCAAGTTGATTCTGGCCATGGTGTGTAGTATAGCAATAGAAAAGTAACTAGGAAACTTCCAATATACCCGCCCCCCAAATGACACATTGTTGACCTTTTGCAATTATTCTATACATTAAAAATTCTGTACATTGCCAGGCATGGTGGTGCACACCTTTAATCCCGGCACTCGGGAGGCAGAGGCAGGCAGATCTCTGAGTTTGAGGCCAGCCTGGTCTATATAGCGAATTCCAGGCCAGGTGGAGCTATAGGGAGACCCTGCCTCAAAAATACCCTCCAAAAAATTCTGTACATTATTTATTCATTTATTTATTTTGAGTATGAGTGTTTTGCCTGCATGTAAGTGTACCACCATGTGGCACAATGCACACCAGAGGCCAGAAGAGAGCACAAGATTCCTGGAACTGGAGTTAAGCATGGTTGTTAACTCCCACATGGGTGCTGGGAACAATAATGGGTCCTCTGCAAGAGCAGCAAGTGTTCTTAACTGCTGAGCCATCTCTCCAGTCCCTTATGTACATTTGGATGTTATAGTCACACCAGAGCCAAAGCAATGAGTCTAATTCTTCCCTAACCATGAACCCTTTCAAACAATACTGAGCAGATTTAAGGAGCAAATTTTCTCTTAATTATTGCATATATGTGTATATACACATGTACACACACACACATATATGTATGTATATATATCTGGGTATGGTAGTCCTTGCCTTTAATCCTAGCACTTGGAAGGCAGAGGCAGAGGCAGAGGCAGAGGCAGGTGAATCTCCATGAGTCTGAGACCAGACTGGTCTACATAGCAAGTTCCAGGCCAGCTGGGGCTACAGGGAGACTCATTCTTTTTTTTTTTTTTAATGTGTATGCATGTATTGTCTGCATATAGGTAAGTGTACCCGTGTCGTGCAATGCCCAAGGACAGAAGAGGCCGTTGGATCCCCTGGTACTGGAGTTACAGACAGTTGTTAGCTGCCATGTGGGTACTGGGATTCGAACCCAGGTCTTCTGCAAGAACAGTCAGTGTTCTTAACCACTGAGCCATCTCTCCAGCACTGCCCCCCCCCAAAGAATACAGAGTTTTTGTTTAGTGTGTGTGTATGTGTGTGAAAAGAACAACTTGTAGGAGTCAGTTATCTTCTTCCACCATGTGGATTCTAGGAATCAAACTCAGGACATCAGGGCCTTTATCTTCTGAGTTATCTCACCATCCCCCAAACACATTATTTTTATTTTATTTTAGTTTTTTGAAGCAGGATCTCCTGTAGCCCCTGCTGACCCTGGAACTTGCTATGTAGACCAGGCTGACCTTGATCTCATAGAGATTTATCTGCCTCTGTCTCCCAAGGCCTCGAATTGAAGGTGGGTGCCACCACACTCAACCATTTTTAAATTATTTTTGTTTTATGTGTATGAGTGTTTGCATGTACACTGCATGTGTGCATGGTGACTTTGGAAGCCAGAAGAGGGCACCAGATACCCTGAAACTGGAGTTATAGACAGTTGTGAGCTGCCATGTGGGTTCTGGGAATGGAACCCAGGTCCTCTGTAAGAGCAACAAGTGCTCTTAACCATCTCTCCAGTCCTGTACATACAGTATTTGACATCTTTATTATCATAGAGGATGATTTAAAAATCACAGAACTTACAGATATATTCAGCTTCCCAACTGGAAGAGACCCTGCCCCATTCTAGTCATACAGAGCTGAAAAGGACATGACCTTGTGCCAAAACAACAGTAAAGCCAGGCATGGGGCACACACCTTTAATCCCAGTAGTCTGGAGGCAGAGGCAGGTGACTCTCTGTTAGGTGGAGACCAACCTGGTCTACATAATGAATTCCAGGTCAGCTGGGGGTACAGGGAGACCCTGTCTCAAACACCAAAAAACTACAACAGCAAAACCTGCTCCTGCTGGTACCTATTGCCTTGGATGGCTCCAAAGAAGCCACCAAGCTAGTCTCAAATGCCACATTAGGATGGGAGTTGTGTTCCACAAATAAGGCAAGGGATGTGCCACTATTTACCTGTTTTGTTTTGTCAGGAAACAGTAATAAACAATTGTGGGGGCTGGAGAGATGGCTCAGCAGTTAAAAGCCCTTCCTGTTCTTACAGAGGGCTCTACTTTGATTTTCAGCACTTATATGAGGCAGCTCACAACTGCCTGTAGAACCAGTTCCAAGGACTTTGATGTCCCCTTCTGGCCTCTACAAGCACTGCATACACGTGATGCACATACAGGCACACATACACATAAATTTAAAATTTCTTTTTCACCAGGTATTGTATCAAATACTGTACCAGGCATTGTCATAAGCATTGGTTACTAAAATGGAATATTATGAAACAGTAGGCCAAGAAGGTCAAAAAAATTCATGTGATTCTAAACCAGGTTGACACCTGTCCTAGCTTCAGTGAGTAATCAAATGTCGTCAACCATCTACTACAATTTGGGTTTAAAAAAAAAAGTTTTGGGGGCTGGAGAGATGGCTCAATGGTTAAGAATGCTGACTGTTCCTGCAGAAGACCTGGGTTCGAATCCCAGCACCCACATGGCAGCTAACAACTGTCCATAACTCCAGTTCCAGGGGATCCAACAGACTCTTCTGTCCTCTGCAGGCATCACATGACACAAGTGCTCTTACCTACATGCAGGAAATACATGCATACACATAAAATAAAAATTTAAAAAAGTTCTTTTGTACACTTTGCCCTAGGATCCAGTAGAAAGAGCTTTCACTGAACTGTGGTGTGCAGGTCAGAGGTCAACCTTGGGTGTAGTTCCTCAGGCACCATTAACCTTGTGTTTTGAGACAGGGTCTCTAATTGGTCTGGAGCTAGGATGACTGGGGAGCAAGCTCCAGGGATCTGCCTACCTCCACCTCCCTAGTGCTGGGATTGCAAATGTGTGCCACCATGCTCAGCTCTTTAAAAAAGTGTCCCTGGGAATCCGACCCAGTTCTCGTGGTTGTGTGGCAAGCACTCTGCTGACTGAGCCATCTCCCCAGCCCCCAAACTGAATTCTTTGCAAATAAGAAGCTGGAAGTATAATATCCTAATAATAACCTGTGACATATCTTTAATTCATTATAAGCAGCAGCCAAATGGGCTTGTGGAGCTTTGCAGGGAGATTCACAGGAGGGAACCAGAGGGCTCAGGCTGCTTATGGTAATTTGACATATAACTCAGAGCCTAATTGTGTCAGGTGAAGTGGCCTGGATAGTTTAGCCTCTGGTCCCAGAGTTAACAAGCTTCCACCACATACCTTCCTTTGTGAATATTAGATGAGCTTCCTTTGGAACACAATACCCAAATGTCAAGTGTTGCAGAGGAAAGGTTTTCACAGCAAGGTCAGAATGTCTGGTCTAGGCCTATCAATTCATCTT